TGGTGGGTTCACCAGCCAGTACCAGAGTTGTAGGGGTTTATTTTTACTTTTTCTTGTCCCTTTTCTAGCTATCTCCTACCTCCCTTCACCATGCACTTTTCCTTTTTAACCGTACAAGTCCCTGTTTGAGATGCAAGCCTGAGGGATGCAACAAGTTTAGTCTCTGAAATGGTTTTATCCTTCGTGCACCTGACAGCCTCGTGCTGGGGGATGGAGGGAGAGCCCAGCACCCCGTGTGCCCGCGCCTGGGACCTGCTACCAAAGATGGGAGCGGAGCTGGGGTCCTGCTCTGCCTCCCCCGGGGCCACTGTCGTGTACAGCTTGAAACAGTCTGGTTTGCAGAGCCCTCCGGGGCCCTGCTCGTGTATGTCCCTTGTGGTATTGGAAAAATAAACACGCGGTAAAACCTGCAGTTGTGGTTTCAATCCTCTTTTCCTGAAATCCTCCTCTGTGATCTCCAAGGCACTATTGCTTTTCCTTTCCTCTTTTGTAACTGGGAGTGCTCCAGCACTGCTCAGATGGTTAAAGGGGATGGGGGTGCTGCCCTGCTCTTGTGGCTTTGTTACATCAGTTTTTATGCACTTGCAGATGCCTGAGGGTGGTGAAGTTGCTGTAGACAGTGGGAAGGAGATCCCTGGGGGCTCCCAAAGCAGCAGTGTGGCTGCAAAGCAAAGGATGTGGGAGCAGAGGTTGGGGCTGGGAGGGAAGGTTGGGGTTGGGGACCCCACTCTGTGATGGGTGACACCTGCCCTGCCTGTGGGCAGCTGGCCTGGGCTGGTCTGGCTGCTGCTGGATTTGTTGCCATCTCACTGAATTGTTGGATAATTCCATCTGGAAGGATGTTCTAAGGAGAGTAGTGCTGTGGCACCTATGACACTGTTTTTGAAGTGACCTGTAAACTGGGTTTATTGACATGTTCTTTCTCTCTTTTCTAGGTAGTGAGCAGTTTTAAACAGAGTGACATGAAAGATGAGGTTCCATGTCTTGGTTCTGGTCCTACTGCACAGCTCTTCACAAGGCAGAGGGTGATCCCACCTGAGCAGCAGGGCTGTGGCAGCTGCTGACGTGTCTGGTGACACCATCTTTATCTTCCTTCTGTTCTATAGAGCTGCAAACCCACCCTAGATGGAGCCCCAGGCCCCCTAGGGGTCCAGCGCTGGTGGAACCTGCTCCTTCAGTCCTGCCTTCAAATCTGTGGCGAGATGGAACATGGTGAGGGAAGCTCCATCCCAGCATGGCAGGTAAGGCTTGTGGTTTAAATTCTGTGTCGCTGCTTTGGGAGTGTGGATTTATCTGCACATGGGTGTCAGTCCTGCTGTGCTGGAGCCATTGGGAACCCTCCAGCCTCGGCAGCAGCCATGAGGGCTGCTCCAGCTGTGGTGGGTTTTGGTTGGTCATTGATGCTCTCCTGACTCTGGCAGACTTTGGCTGCCAGCAGAGGTGTGGTTTGAGATACCCAGATAATTTACATATGCTAAAAATAAGTCATGTAGAAAATAAGTAAATTGGTACTTGGCTTTAGAATGGCTCAGTAACTGACATCAAGTTTTGTTTGATTAGTGTGGTGGATGTCAGGAGTCACCTCTGGACAGGGGAGCTTGGAGGCTTCAGGAGTAAAACCCTGTTAATGTCACAGTTTCACACAGGGCAGACAGAATTGTTTTTTTATGCTCAGGTCTGGCTCTGAGGTGCTCTGGAGCATCCTGTGGTGGAGCTGGCTCTGGATGGAGGGGATTTCCCAAGACACCCATGACCCTGGGCCTGTAGGAGCAAAGGCAGGTATTCCTAAGGTTGGGTGCAGAGTGATGGGACCGAGCACTGCTGGTCCCCACGGGGCACAACTGTCTTCCTTTGGAATTTGGGAGTAAACCTTATCCAGAGGCTGATGCTGTTAAGCTTGTGCCAGGGACACAACCCTGTCTGTCAGCGCTGTGTCCACACACACACACTGATGGTAGGGATGGTCCCTCTGTCCCCAGGGACTATGTACCTTTGGCTGCAGTGGCATCCCGGGGTGGTGGGCATCTGTGTGCAAACCAAGAGGCCCCATTCCCACCAAAGCTGCAAAGGATGGCACCTGTCCTGGGTGCTCCTGCCTGCCAGCCACTGATGCAAATCAGGAGATTTTATCTACACAGTGCTTTGAGATAAACAGTTTATGGATGCAAAGATTTATTATACTTAGTGAATAAAGCTGATAACGAAAAATCAGTATTTTTCAATGAGGGAGAGGGAGAACTTTCCACAAACTTCAATGAAAACTCCATTATTATTTCTTTTTTTCCACAAAAAACCAGACACTTCACAAAAATAATGTTGTCAAAGTATAAGTTAAGCATAAAACTGGTGACCAGTCCCACTCGTGAGTGCTAAGGCTGCTCTCTATGGTACCTGCAGCTGTCTGTTAAGGAATGGAAAGCACAGCTTAGGTCAAAGTTATTGAAAGTTGTCTATTTTTTTTTCTCAACACCTCAATTTAGGTCCCACTGGGTGACCAATTGCGACTGGGGGCGGGGAGGGGGCAGCACCCAGGGGTGCTCGGCGGCGGAGGAGAAAGCCCTTTTTGTTATACAGTGTTTATTAAGTAGATTCAGTCTTATATATGATATACAGATTCAAAAGGAAAAAAAAAAAAAAAAGAAAAAAACCAAAAAGGATTCCACATACTTATGAAATCAGTGCATTTAGCAAGTAATACCATGGAGATAACAGCTTGATTAACAGCTCATTGGTCTTTGTTAAGTGAGGGGAACAGGGAGTTGGCCTGTGCTAATCATTCCACAAACAGAACAGAATTAAGTTGCATCACATATATAATAGACACACATTCTAAGAATTAAAATATTAAGCCACATTTACTGGAAAAATCCACAGTATATAACACAACTCTTATCAAGCTCGTTGAGGAGGAAGTGCTCATCTGCTTAAGAGCCACATGAAGTTGCATAGGTGCCGATCTGCAAAAATATCATTTCAAAATGAATCAATTGATTAGCAATAAAGTGTCACCTTAAAAGTTGGATTTAAGTGCCATACGCTTTGTCTGAGCCCTCGGGAAAGCACCGACTTCCCAAAGAGCTCCCTTAGCTTCACTCGGAGCCCCCTGCTCCCGAGGGACTGCGTCCCCCCCCCCACACACACCGCAGCGGCCAGCTTGGGTGGGATCACCAGGTTGGGTGAAGTGTTTCCAATTCTGCTGCTGAGTGTCCCCCCAATCCCCTCCTCACAGCCCCCTGGGCACCAACCCAGCTCAGCTGCTTCCACCCTCCTGCCTGGAGGAGGAGGATGGTGAAGGGGGAAGTCACAGAGCAGCATCTCAGCTCATGACTGGAATCGCAGCCAATCCATCAATCGACTACTGGGAAATAGAAAAAATCCAATAAACAGGTTGTGCAAAACCCAAAATGGCTTAAAGGGCGTCTCAGGGTGGTGGGGCCTGCCCGGGGGCAGGTGTGTCAGTGGGGCAGGGGGGCTGTGGCTGGGTTAAGCAGACGAGCTGGGTGAGGTGCCTCTTCCTCTTCAACAGCCGGTCTCGCAGAACACGCAGGGGCCGGGAGTTCTGTACATGTAAACAGTACACTTCACTGAGTCCAAAATCAGGAGCAAAAATACAAAGGTTCACATTGGTCTTAGGTAGGTACAGGCGAAGAACTGAGCTGTGCAGCTCCGAAACAACCAAACAAAAGTTTCTAAAGCACCACTAAATTATATAAAAATCAGACCATGGACGGATTGTAGTTGGTATCTGGTGAAATACTATGCTACCTTGTAAAAAGTTTTACAAAAAATTACAAATCAAAAGTATATTAACCCTCTGAGTTCAAAGCAGCATTTTTTTTTTTTTTCATGAACTGGTACTAAATCCAACAGCCACTCGGGGAGGGACGTGGCCCTTTGGATCAGGGAGGTACAAGTTATGTCTGCTCGCAGTCCCGGGAACGCTCTCCCATGTAGAAACACCGTCACGGGAACCGCACGTCCAGGGCAGGGTGGGTGTGTTTAAATTAAATTAAATTAAATTAAAACAAAAATCTATTTTCTCAAACAGTGATTAGCTTTTCTTAAACAAAACCAAGAACATCCAGACCATTTGCTAACCCAGCATTCTCCTTCGACCTCCCTCACTATCCGGAGAGCTGGTGTGTTCTGCTCCTGCTCGTTCCTTCTCGGTGAGAACCTGGACTAGCGATTCCTGACCCCGTCCTGCCTAGTGAGAGCGCAGGGAAGTGGTTGTGAAACAGTCCTGGACCCCAGGAGAGCCACAGCTGAGCACGGATCAGCTGAAGAGCACAGAGATGTCTGCAGAGCTCACTCCAAGGAAAGTTGAGCTGTAGCTCCCCCCCCCATCAAAAAAAACAAACCACAAGAGAGAAAAAAAAAAGAGAGAAAAAAAAATGCCAAAGATCCCTGACAGAAATTCATAGTAATCCTGTTTGTTTCATAACTTGTCACAGATGTGGCTGCCACCGGGGCTTCGGAAAGCTGAGTCTGTACCATTCAGCTGCAAGTTCTGAACATCAGTTGTGAGGACAGGGCAGGCTTGGGGACACCCTCCTAGGCAGCTGTGACTTGGGCTGTTCTTCCACCACAGGGCAACGGGGTGTAAGAGCTGCTCAACTTCAGCATGTGCTAAGACAAGTTCAAAGGTGATCTGGTAGTGACAGCTAAAACATGTATAAATAAAACTTTAACCAAACTGTAGCTGATGGTGCTCTGTCCGTGAGCCCCTGGGTAACCTCTTTTTTTCAGTAAACTGATGGCAAACGTATGGCTAAAGGTTCTCCATGGCCTCTGCCGGGTGGGACGGCGCAGAGAGGGAATTCCGGGACAGCGATTGTCTCTGCCTCGCCTTCCTTAACGTTAAGACTTTCACAAATGGCTGCGGGTACATATTTTGTCAAAGGTTTGTTACTTCATGGTATTCACACAAAAATAAATATTTACATAAATTCCAAGTATGGGAGGATGCAGTGGACAAACCCAGCAGGCTTGTGAAGTGCTGGGAAAAGCATGAGACTGATCCCTGGCTCTGAGGGGCCGGTGGCCCAGCCTGGCCCCCACCCTGCTCTCCTGCCTGTGATGGATGGGGAGGGGATGGGGTGCCCAGCCCAGGCACCCCTAGTCCTGGCACAGGCTCAGGGCTGACCTCACCTCTCCACTGACACCCCAACTGCACCCCACAGCTGGGGGCTGGGTCCCTTTTCTCCAAATGCTGTGGGAAGCCAAAGGTTTGGGGAAGCCAGACAATAAAACAGTTCATCCTTTCTGCTGCCAGGCCGGGCACCTGGCCCCAGGAGCCGGCAGCTTTTCTGTACTGGCACTAAGAGCAGGGCAGAGGGTTTTGGGGTTTTGTTGGGTTTTTTTTTGTCTCTTCCAGTGTGTGGGGAGTATCATGGGATGTGTTGGCTACTGAGTAGACTGCCCGGGTCTGCTCCTGGCTTGGACCAGCCTCTGCCACCGAGCTGAGGCCCGTGCCAGCCATGCCAGCCCCCCATGGCTCAGC